ATGGCATTCCTCTCCAGCTAATCACCCCCTCCTTCACGGTCTGACACCATTTTAACGCGTTGCCAGCTCACAGTACATGCCAAGCATCGAACTGTTTAAACAACTCTAGGGTAAAACAACAGGTTCATATTCCATTTCCTTTAATCCTTACTTTCAACCTAACCTTCAAAGTAGTCTTAACCCAAAGACGTAAGTGTGTATATGCCAGACAGGGGTTTATTTAACGGACGTCGATAAATCTCGACTTTGGTTTTCTTTCAATAGTTCATAGGTTCGACAGTAATAGTGAGTGAGTGAGTTTAGTTTTACGCCGCACTCAGCAATATTCCAGCTATATGGTGGCGGTCTGTAAATAATCGAGTCTGGACCAAACAATCTAGCGATCAACAGCATGAGCATCGATTTGCGCAATTGGGATACAATGACACGTGTCAACCAAGCCAGCGAGCCTGACCACCCGATCCCGTTAGTCGCCTCTTACGACAAGCATGGGTTACTGAAAGTTCATTCTAACCCGGATCTTCACGGGTCTCGACAGTAATAAGAATACAACAATGCAATGCGTTTGCCTGGTGACTTTTCTCAATGAATTCCGTTTTATTACTTCTTAAGCTTAAGTTTAGGACAGGAAATTGTTGAAACTTTAAACACAACATGAGATGAATATCCGGACTGCACTAAAAGTTAGACTCTCTAGTGGAAATGTAGCTACTTACTTCAGTCAACTATTCTGAACTAGATTTCGCAAAATATTCCATACTGTTTAAAGGTACTGTTTACACATGAACTCATGTATTGTAAAACAAATTCGTAACATTGAAAAGGTTATTGTCATAGGTTCAATAAATAATGAAACTTACTTTGGATGTACAAAAGCACAACATAGTATGTACGCTTACTGTGTGTCCCATAGCGCAACATAGTAAGTACTCACTTTGTATGTCCCAAAGCACAACATAGTAAGTACTCACTTTGTATGTCCCAAAGCACAACATAGTAAGTACTCACTTTGTATGTCCCAAAGTGCAACATGGTAAGTACTCACTTTGTATGTCCCAAAGCACAACATAGTAAGTACTCACTTTGTATGTCCCAAAGCGGAACATAGTTAGTACTCACTTTGTATGTCCCAAAGCGCAACATAGTAAGTACTCACTTTGTATGTCCCAAAGCGCAACATAGTCAGTACTCACTTCGTATGTCCCAAAGCGCAACATAGTAAGTACTCACTTTGTATGTCTCATAGCACAACATAGTAAGTAATCACTTTGTGTGTCTCATAGCACAACATAGTTAGTACTCACTTTGTATGTCTCATAGCACAACATAGCGTGTACTCAATTTGTATGTCTCATAGCACAACATATTAAGTACTCACTTTGTATGTCCCGTAGCACAACATAGTAAGTACTCACTTTGTAATTCCCATAGCACAACATAGTAAGTACTCACTTTGTATGTCACATCGCACAACATAGTAAGTGCTCACTTTGTATGTCACATAGCACAACATAGTTAGTACTCACTTTGTATGTCTCATAGCACAACATAGTTAGTACTCACTTTGTATGTCCCGTAGCACAACATAGTAAGTACTCACTTTGTATGTCTCATAGCACAACATAGTAAGTACTCACTTTGTATGTCTCCATAGCGCAACATAGTAAGTACTCACTTTGTATGTCACATAGCACAACATAGTAAGTACTCACTTTGTATGTCTCATAGCACAACATAGTAAGTACTCACTTTGTATGTCCCGTAGCACAACATAGTAAGTACTCACTTTGTATGTCCCATAGCACAACATAGTAAGTACTCACTTTGTATGTCACACAGCACAACAAGTAAGTACTCACTTTGTATGTCACATAGCACAAGATAGTAAGTGCTCACTTTGTATGTCTCATAGCACAACATAGTAAGTACTCACTTTGTATGTCCCGTAGCACAACATAGTAAGTGCTCACTGTGTATGTCCCATAGCACAACATAGTAAGTGCTCACTTTGTATGTCCCGTAGCACAACATAGTAAGTGCTCACTTTGTATGTCCGATAGCGCAACATAGTTAGTACTCACTTTGGATGTACCATAGCACAACATAGTAAGTGCTCACTTTGTATGTCACACAGCACAACATAGTAAGTACTCACTTTGTATGTCTCATAGCACAACATAGTAAGTACTCACTTTGTATGTCCCATAGCACAACATAGTAAGTACTTACTTTGTATGTCTCATAGCACAACATAGTAAGTACTCACTTTGTATGTCCCGTAGCACAACATAGTAAGTACTCACTTGTATGTCTCATAGCACAACATAGTAAGTACTCACTTTGTGTGTCTCATAGCACAACATAGTTAGTACTCACTTTGTATGTCTCATAGCACAACATAGCGTGTACTCAATTTGTATGTCTCATAGCACAACATATTAAGTACTCACTTTGTATGTCCCGTAGCACAACATAGTAAGTACTCACTTTGTAATTCCCATAGCACAACATAGTAAGTACTCACTTTGTATGTCACATCGCACAACATAGTAAGTGCTCACTTTGTATGTCACATAGCACAACATAGTTAGTACTCACTTTGTATGTCTCATAGCACAACATAGTTAGTACTCACTTTGTATGTCCCGTAGCACAACATAGTAAGTACTCACTTGTATGTCTCATAGCACAACATAGTAAGTACTCACTTTGTATGTCTCATAGCGCAACATAGTAAGTACTCACTTTGTATGTCACATAGCACAACATAGTAAGTACTCACTTTGTATGTCTCATAGCACAACATAGTAAGTACTCACTTTGTATGTCCCGTAGCACAACATAGTAAGTACTCACTTTGTATGTCCCATAGCACAACATAGTAAGTACTCACTTTGTATGTCACACAGCACAACAAGTAAGTACTCACTTTGTATGTCACATAGCACAACATAGTAAGTGCTCACTTTGTATGTCTCATAGCACAACATAGTAAGTACTCACTTTGTATGTCCCGTAGCACAACATAGTAAGTGCTCACTGTGTATGTCCCATAGCACAACATAGTAAGTGCTCACTTTGTATGTCCCGTAGCACAACATAGTAAGTGCTCACTTTGTATGTCCGATAGCGCAACATAGTTAGTACTCACTTTGGATGTACCATAGCACAACATAGTAAGTGCTCACTTTGTATGTCACACAGCACAACATAGTAAGTACTCACTTTGTATGTCTCATAGCACAACATAGTAAGTACTCACTTTGTATGTCCCATAGCACAACATAGTAAGTACTTACTTTGTATGTCTCATAGCACAACATAGTAAGTACTCACTTTGTATGTCCCGTAGCACAACATAGTAAGTGCTCACTTTGTATGTCCCATAGCACAACATAGTAAGTGCTCACTTTGTATGTCCCGTAGCACAACATAGTAAGTGCTCACTTTGTATGTCCGATAGCGCAACATAGTTAGTACTCACTTTGGATGTACCATAGCACAACATAGTAAGTGCTCACTTTGTATGTCACACAGCACAACATAGTAAGTACTCACTTTGTATGTCTCATAGCACAACATAGTTAGTACTCACTTTGTATGTCCCATAGCACAACATAGTAAGTACTTACTTTGTATGTCTCATAGCACAACATAGTAAGTACTCACTTTGTATGTCCCGTAGCACAACATAGTAAGTACTCACTTGTATGTCTCATAGCACAACATAGTAAGTACTCACTTTGTATGTCTCATAGCACAACATAGTAAGTACTCACTTTGTATGTCCCGTAGCACAACATAGTAAGTGCTCACTTTGTATGTCCCATAGCACAACATAGTAAGTGCTCACTTTGTATGTCCCGTAGCACAACATAGTAAGTGCTCACTTTGTATGTCCGATAGCGCAACATAGTTAGTACTCACTTTGGATGTACCATAGCACAACATAGTAAGTGCTCACTTTGTATGTCACACAGCACAACATAGTAAGTACTCACTTTGTATGTCGCATAGCACAACATAGTAAGTACTCACTTTGTATGTCCCATAGCACAACATAGTAAGTACTTACTTTGTATGTCTAATAGCACAACATAGTAAGTACTCACTTTGTATGTCCCGTAGCACAACATAGTAAGTGCTCACTTTGTATGTCACATAGCACAACATAGTAAGTGCTCACTTTGTATGTCCCATTGCACAACATAGTAAGTACTCACTTTGTATGTCCTATTACACAAAGTAGCCTTTATTCAGTTTGTATGCCGTTTGAACTACGTGGTCCAGTAAGTGTACACTATAATGTTGCAAACTTTTGTTTGATGATGAACCAACAGTAATATCCCCTGTATGTAGCAGCGCCTGGAAATTATCGAGCCGAAAGCCACTGATTGATTTTGTGAACACCCCTTACACAGCCGAGGTACAATAACCTGCTGGCAACAATTCAGCTAGACTTACCACGACTCATTAAATCGCCTCTTCCGACAAACATAGGTTCCCTAAGGGCAACTCGTACCCTGAATCCCCACTAGGATTTCAAAGATAAACATTCAAAAGCCGAATAGGGAAATACTAAATCCAGGAAATCCTACAACACTGTGCTTAGCGCTATACGAGCACTGTAATACTTCTCTGTACTTATCTGTATTCAGGTTATTTAACTTGGACTCACCGGCATATGTTAGCTGTACTCATGACCAGTCGTCCGGGAGCCGTAATTGCTGTGCAGAGTTGCGTCCCTTTGACGTGGCAGAAACCTCTGAATCCCAGATTCACCAGGGTCATGTTTCCAGATTTTTCAGTTTCATACCGGGCCCACGCCTCTCAAAACAAGCAGCTGATATAAGACACTGTGGACATTATGATATACTGATATAAGACACTGTGGCTGTGGACATTATGATATACTGAAGTACAGTTCAAAGCGAGAATAAACCAAAATCACTCACTCATTCTTTGTTGTATATTGTATCTGACTTCCGGTCTGTTTCCAGGTGGTCGACAGTTACCGGAAGTTGCTCTGGATGATTGACAAGGACAACCTACCCCAGGACTACGAACCACCTGCTTCTTACTCCATGCTGGTATGTACACGGCCGGACAAAAGAAAATATACCCTTGCAATTGAGTGTGACTAAAACATTAAAAAGGTTGATATCAGATCGTTACTAGACCGACACACTGGAAGGCTCACGTTTGCCAACACAGCTTTGATCATCTCTAACTATCTGTTGTTCATTTCACTTTTCGCTACATAGGTGGATTCTCTTTGGGCCGCGGATCCGAAAAGATCCGGGTTAGAATTGGTCTTCAGTTACCCATGCTTGTCATAAGAGGCGACTAACGGGATCGGGTGGTCAGGCTCGCTGACTTGGTTGACTTGGTCATCGTATTCTAACCACGTAGATCAATGATCATGCTGTTGATCACTGGATTGTCTGGTTCAGACTCGATTATTTACAGACCGCCGCCATATAGCTGTAATATTGCTGAGTGCGGTGTTAAACAACAAACCAATCTTTTGCCCGCCAGTATAAGTGTCATCGTCCCTGACAGTTGTGTCAGGAGTAGAGAAAAGATCATTAGATAAGAATGTACAGACGACAGCAGCATTGTTGACAAATGCGTGACCGTACTTTGACCGTGGGTTCGAATCCCGGCACGAGAGAGTTGAAACATTAAATGATACATGTTATACACAATGATGACTTGAGTAAAGCATCCTCAGAATGTCGTCGCCGCGATTAACTGTAATATTGCTGATGCAGCATAAAGCAATAATGAATCCTTCGTTCTCAGTATGTCTATATGGTGGCAGTAATACCGCCAAGTCTATTTATTGCCTGGGTTTGGGGTAAAGATATATACCCGATCAACCTAGTCCTGTCGCAAGATTCAACTGTTGGGCCTGATGATCAAGCACGCTGGCTTCGTTAATGTTATCATACCCCAGCTGCGTGGATCTATGTTCATGATGTCAATCACTGGATGGTTTGGTCCAGACTCGATTACCTCACACCATGTCTTTATCAATGCCTATATATCTATATGTGTATGTTTGTATGCGTATATCAGTATATGTATATCTGTATGTGTATATCATGTAAATGTAACTGTCCCGCCAGCTATACGAGATCCACGCCCACCTAGGTGTGGCTCTCCAACACGTGGGGGAACACAGGAAGGCTGCCTCCCAGTTCACCAAAGCTATCAACATCGTCTCCATACCCAAGGTATCAAATACAAACATACTGGGCCCATTTGCACAAAGTAACTTTAGCGCTACGGCCATCCATGCCAAAGCGCTCCGATAATGGTAGCCCCATTTAGCTTTGTGCGATTGGGATCTAATCTATAAATAGAAATTAATTAAACAATATTTATATGATATTGCAATAAACATTTTGGGTACAAGCTTTATCCTCAAAGCAGGAATTGGAAAGGATCATTTTCAATTCAGTATTAACCTTTTACCTGAGTTGACGTTTTGATGACGTGGTAAGACCACCGTAGTAATTATATCAACCACATCATCAGCTGTTGTACGTCGTATGCATTGACAAATACATTTCTGTTGATGATGAACTGATGTAGCTGACATAGTTAAACATGTAATCCTTTATCGTCATATTTGATCAATATATGATTGATTTTTGTTCAATTTCATATATTATTCAGTTTTAGACAATAATCCCAGTTACTGTGTCTTCAGAATGTACTGTAGAGCAAGGAACAGAAGTCAAAAACTCTTTTCGGTCATTACTTTCAGCGAATGTAATAAATACAGGACAATAATAAATACAGAGGGATTCTTAGTCGATGGAGTCGTATTTCATATGGGTAATAATATTATGCTTGGGCCCTGAAGTTTGCGTGGTTTCGGCGATTTCTTTCAGCGTAGTAAGGTTTTAAAAACGTTTGTAATAATAAAGTGTATACTTTTTTGTCCGGCAGGTTACTTAATCTAACAGCACATGAAGGATAAATTTGAGGACATCCAGCATACATAGATTTTATCAAATAAAATACTTTGTCAGTCAATTGTGAACAAACTAAACAACTCATAAATGAAATCCCCCGATTCACCCATGAGTAATGAAACCGTAGGTCATTGACATTTTCCCACATTTCGCCAGGGTGGATGTCTTGCTGGCTGTTTGACCAACTCGTGCCTGATGACGCCCCTCTACGCCCGGAGAGCCTTTGCAAATACACGTCTTGGTAGGTCATTAAAGTATACGATGGCCAGGAATAACTCCGTAGATCGAGTAAACTGTTGTTGATTGTTATTTAACGCCGCAGTCGGCATTATTCCAGATATATGGCTGCGGTCTGTCTCACCTACAAAGAAACATTCAATTTGTTAGAATGTGAAGTTTTTGTTGGGAATCTTTTGACTTCTTCTTCCTTAGTAGGTAGTATAGGTGATGGCAGAGAATGGTTTAAGACGTAATATGGCCGTGGCGGTAGCCGTTTGCAATTTTTATATTGAACTCAAATACTTATAGTACTCTAATACTTATCTTATTTTGATTAGGAACTGCTGAGAGGTTGAAATTTAAAAGACCAGTACAATATTTCGGATGGTACCCGACGCTCTGGGTGTGTTTTTGATAAACATAAAATATAATTAACAGGAAATTTCCAACTTCGTTGTAGAATATATTTCTAAATATTTGTGTATCATCCATATTGCATTGTTTCTCACCTCTTGATGTTTGATGCATCTTGTATTGTGTATCATGTATGTTTGATGCATCTTGTATTGTGTATCATGTATGTTTGATGCATCTTGTATTGTGTATCATGTATGTTTGATGCATCTTGTATTGTGTATCATGTATGTTTGATACATCTTGTATTGTGTATCATGTATGTTTGATGCATCTTGTATTGTGTATCATGTATGTTTGATGCATCTTGTATTGTGTATCATGTATGTTTGATGCATCTTGTACTGTGTATCATGTATGTTTGATGCATCTTGTATTGTGTATCATTTATGTTTGATGCATCTTGCATTGTGTATCATGTATGTTTGATGCATCTTGTATTGTGTACCATGTATGTTTGATGCATCTTGTACTGTGTATCATGTATGTTTGATGCATCTTGTATTGTGTATCATGTATGTTTGATACATCTTGTATTGTGTATCATGTCTGATGTGTTATGCCTGTGGTACTACTTAGTATTCTACAACTTCAGGGGACATGAGCGGTGCGATGAGAGACGCTGAGAAAACTGTCGTTCTTGACAGTAGAAATCCAGTAAGACCCTTTATTGTCAAGAATTTTATTCTGTTTGATGATTAATGATCCAATCTACTTCTCATGTAGGTACTAATAGTCCATTCACCATTATGATTTTTGTTTTCTCTGAAAAGTATTGTTTTTCTGACATTGTTAAAGAACCACTAAACTTTGTTTTTTGTTACTCTTTTAACCATTACATATGAAATATTTGTGGTTAGTCTTATGCGGAACACCAAATTTATTCTTTAAAAACTTGTGGTTAATTAATACCGAGCGATTAAAAGTGGCCAAAAAGTCGCCTGCTTCCCTCTCGCCCGCCAACGAAACCACAGACAGGTTACGTAACTCTGTCGCCAGAGCACTGCAGTGACGTCATATGAGGAACGATTTTCAGTTAGTTGTATAGAAAGTGTGTAGCACGCTCATCATTTTGATGATTTCTCGACATGAACGACGACATGCCGAATCGTTGCTTTGTCGTCAATTTCTCCTAGGGGTCGGGTGATGGTGTCACCACGCACAGATTTCCACAGGACCCCGCAGTTCGTGCTAAATGGGTTATGTTTGTGAGTGCGAAGCGAGCGTTGTGGAAGCCTGAAACGATATCTTACTTGTGTTCAGATCGCTTCACGGAAGTTAAAGAATCAAAACTACTTACTAGTTATAGTAAAATATGTATATGATTGATGACCATAAAGATTTTCCATAACACAACTTGTAACATAACGATTTCTTCCTCGGAAGTGAGGTTGTGGTCGAAGTAACAATAATATTGTAAGTAGTATTATATTGACACCCACCTCGCTGCCAGGAGAGAAATTGTTATGTTATACGCTATGTCATGCAAAATCCTATTGGCCATCAATCAAATACATATTTTACTACCAGTAGAAAGTAGTTTTGATTTTGTAACTCTGTGAAAACAAACCTACATAGCATTTATCCACAGACTGGCGGATGTTCCCGACAGGGCGCCGCCATTTTTGAAAATCGTAAAGTCTGTTAGAATTAATGAGATTATAGTTTGTTTTCATCAAGTTAGAAAATCAAAACTACTTTCTTCTCGTAGTTAAATATGTATTGGAATCATAACCAAAAGGATTTTGCATGACACAACGTATAACATAACGATTTCTTCCACGGAAGCGAGGTGGGGGTCGAAGTCACAATACTGCGCGATAAATTTCTTGCTACATTCACATGGTTAATGTCCACTCACCAGTATGTAGATACTAGTCAATGTGCGTCTTTATATTTGGTCTTATAATCCTAATTAGTTTATTATCATACTTTCATGCATTTTGAAACTAAATAAAAAGCTGACGATCTGCTGATACTTATAGTGAATTTATAACAGAACTGTAATATCTAGACATTTTTATAGTTTGCCAATGTGAATCATAATTCGCACACACACCCTAGTGTATGTTGTCTGTCTCATTACACTTCACGGCGAAAACAATGATTCTGTTGAATGCTACGACAAATGAATAAAAAACAAAATGCAAATATTAAAATTAAAACAGATTAAAGTTATAGGAACAATATCAGGCCATTACCTTGTTTGAGGAATGTATCCATCAATATCCACAAAACTGTTCCAAATGATGTGTCTTTTAACAGTTTAATATACGAAAAAGTGATAAATCTTTTCAGGTATTGGTGTATAGTCTCATTGGTCACCCAAGATAGCACACCTGGCAACTAATTGCATAATGTCCGCCTTTCATTAAAAACGGTAATTTAGTTAGCCAATAATGGGCAATCAATCAATGTATTGCCGGTTAATCCTTTGAAAGAAGGGCGTTGTTTTTACGCAGACACCGACACGGCAGAGTGAATTCAGTATAGATTAGTAAATCTACATACATAAACACTACCTTTCAACAATTCCGCTGTGTAAGATAAAAGTAATTAATCAATCAGCGTGTTATCGGTTAATCCTTTGATCGATGTTTATAATGTTGAATATTTACTCCAGACACAAGAAATGCCAAATGGGAACCTTTGTCGGGTAATCTAAGTGTGTTACCACTAATTATACCTGTTATAAATTCATTAACTGACCATCAAGTGAATGATGACAAATAACATGTGTAGGTTTATACCACCTAACACGGGTTACAACAAGAGAGTATTAATTGCTGTATTGCATGTGAAAACTTATGGGCCGACACTGTTTTGAGAATACAAACAGATTTTTACATGACATGATTAAATATCGAGGTAAAAAACACAGAAATGGGATCAATTTGGATCAGTCATTATACAAATAGGGCCTAACGACACCAATCAATTGTGACAGAAGCGTCTATGAAAACAAGTTGTAACTCGGAAACTAGGCAAAGCAGGAGACAAAATTAAATGACAGTAGATTGTGAGAACATATAGCTTTCATTTTCCACAACAATTGTCACGATTTCAGGTTTATACAAGCCTGTAAACAAGATAATTTACCCCCTAAAATGTAGATGAATTCTGCATCGGCCCTCAAAGCTATTCCTCATATGACGTCAAAGAGTCGCGCCGCTCTGATTGGTTGAAATTTCGTTCGCGGGTGAGAATTGTGCACTGTTGTCAAAAAGGTCGATTTAAGTCAATTAAAGGTCGAAATGAGTAGTTTTAATGACGGGGTTTCATTTATAACGATGCCAGTTAGTGATTTATGTATTTTTACCCCCTAGGGTTTATGTGACCTTTAATAAAAGGTACAATGATATAAAACTGATAATTGCTAAAGGAGACATTGTTGTAATCACTTGGTTTAATGCTTGTGCAAACTTTTTTTGGTCAAGTAGAATATGATGTACATTGGCGTGTCTTTATGTTTTACAGGATGTCTACTGCATCCGGGCTCTTGTTCGAGGGGCTCGCGATGAAGATTCGTTGGTCAGTTTTTCTCTGGTTACAATCAGTCGCGTAATATTTCAGTGTTGGCATATATTACAGTGAGGTAACAGGTGAATAGCTTTGATTAATGTCGGGCTGATCGCAAAACTTTACAAAACAATCTAAATGATAATTAGATACGGCGTCTGTAAACGTTGCTTTCAGTGGTTAAATGCCTATATAACCTTTACTTTGACCTTCAGGCTCTCAAGGATGTCGACCACGCCCTCCGGATGAATCCCAACCATGTGTGTGCCCTCATCCTCCGTGGTGCCATCACAAGGCCCCTGGTACGTGTATTAATTGCATGAAACTGTTCTTAAATATTATATATACTGTATATATACTCTCTAAAAAGTAGGGGAACCTGAACTGTCAACTTGGATAGGAAGTATAAGCGTTAACAAACTTTACAAAGACAGACATCTTATGAACGCACCACCATTTCTCTTTATCACCACCCCTAAACACAACGTATGGAATGCACGTGCACAACGCAGTAGCCCCATACACGTGCAGGGGTCGTCATTCTTGATTTTGACGGTTTTCAAGACGGTCGAGAAATCACTGTGAACCATTAACTTTGACAATCATCTTGCATCACACAGTTGTTAGTGTTTGTTTCTGGCCGGTTTATTTTCGTTTTTTCTTTTGTTTGAAAATGAGAATCGTACACATGCAAACTTCACGTCATACACCAATCATCTTTCAAGAGCGATTACTGTACAAACAACTATGGTCATAAGGAAGTGCAAGTGGTGATGCGCTCTCAAAACATTCATTATTATCACATCCACATTGATTGATTCCGATATCTCACAATTTTTCAATCGTAAATTAAAAGTGAAGTTCCCCTACTTTTTCAAGAGTATATGTACCGCTTTATGTTTCGAACTTTCATACTGTACTCATCATTTGGCTATTGTTGATGTTCCATTTCTCATCACATAGATTACATATCCTTCTTTTCAAGCATTTAAAGGATATGTCTTTGAAATACCGTTTTAAAATGCATATGCATGAGCTGAAAAACTGTAAAACGACATAATGTGTGCTTAAAATCCAATTCAAGTTGCATTTTGAATGCTAGTATTTTGAATTTATGCTTGAGGTGATGCTTGCTGTTATTAGTGCTGCTTATTTCTTTACAAGAATTGCCTCTCGCTGCTGGAATCGCTATCTGTAACTGTAAGGATCGGTTCCAAAATCTCACTATCACACTGGCAGTTTTGATGTTATTTATTCACCGTAAAGTTTGCATGCAAATATTTTTATTATGTGTGCTTTTTTGCTTTTTGCGCTTAAAGTTGGTTTTAGACTGGAGTGTTGTGTTGTGTTGTGTGCTGTACATTGTGTTTAGTGTGCTTTATTTGCTTGCTGTGTTAGCTGGCTCCCGAACTACGTCAGTGGTTCACAACGAAAGGTAACTTACTATTGCTTCGTACTGTACTAACCCATTACCAGGGATAGTCTCAAAAGTTCATAGTCCCATTAGAATGTATTAACGACACCTGAGTAATTACTTTAGATTAGTTTATTCAGTACATTTGTCTTTCAGAAAGTATTTACAGTTTTGCCTTATATTTGATAACACTTCTCAATTCTTTCAAGTATCAATGACCGTTGTAGTACGTTTAACTCTTGCACAATTCTGGCACGTGAAGGTCACATGATTAAGAAGCCTGTACACGTGTTAAGGGTAAAGCGTCGACTGATATTACTTTAATGCTGCATTTTGATGGCAGTTAGATAAAATCGGTTCGTTTACGTCCATAGATTTTCGCCTTTTAACTCCTTCTGTTTCTTTAGTTCAACGTAGATCCGTCTATTACCGTTGTAATACTGTCACGCCCCACAGGACACTACAGAACGTTTTGTTTTAGACAGGAAACATGTACAGTTAACCTAATTACATCATTATGTGAAACTGTGCTTAATGTTAACTTATACTTGCATTATCAATTATAGTAATCTGCACAGTAAATATGAATTTTAATGAACAAGCAGTAGTAATTTCCTTCTAATGGCCACGTATGGCCCTTGCCCCTTAGAAACGCCTCTTTCTCTGTTCATAGTTGGGTACCTTGGGCGTGCCAGGAATCTGTGATGGTTAGTTCGAATCCCGGCTCGCCTCGATTATGCAGCTAGAGGTGTATGCATAATAGAAAAGTCATGATGATCATCATTATCATTGAACTGATGTTATACCATGTTCTAACACTCACTACAGCCACGGTTCCTAGAATCTGTGACAACACCTTCATATATAACCCAAGATCCACTGATCACGTGTCTTCTGCCTTTAAATGTAAAATTTCGATTAACACAATGACTTTTCATTTCTGTCTAAGCAAAAAAGGGGCGGTGGGGTAGCCTAATGGCTCAGGCGTTCGCTCGTCACGCCGACGACCCGGGTTCGATTCCCCACATGGGTACAATGTGTGAAGCCCATTTCTGATGTCTTCCACCGTGATATTGCTGGAATATTGCTAAAAGTGGCGTAAAATCAAACTCACTCACTCACTAAAAAATGCGATGCAACTACAAGTCTAGTAGAGTTATCTCCCTTCAACTGTCATCTTTCTGCAGTTCTGTTTAAGTCACAAAACTCTCAATGAAAATTAAAAGTCTCATTGTTCACCCGTACAAAATACCACGGTAATACAATGAGTACAGAGGCCGCTCATATATCAAACACTGGGTACTTTAGATCAGAAACACACAACGACACCTGTATCAAATACATCACCGCCGAAGTCATGTCTTCTATGTTCCATGTTCAACCACCATTGAATATGGGTGTATTCTTCTTATTGCCCGTTAGTGTAGTTTCATACAATGGTATGTATTCTAAGCTAGGGAATGCAAGTTTTCTACATATATTGTATCGTTTCTCGTGTTTTGAATGTTTCGAACTATTCATATATGCTTGTTCCTACAAGGTAGGTTCATAGAACTGGAGACTTCCACGCTCATCAGTTTTGTATATTTGTTCGTTGACAACGTGTGGTCGTACAAGTTTGTTGTTTAAGGCCGCACTCAGCAATATTCCAGCTATATGGCGGCGGTCTGTAAATAATCGAGTCTGGACCAGACAATCCAGTGATCAACAGCATGAGCATCCATCTACGCAACTGGGAACTGATGACATGTGTCAACCAAGTCTGCGAGCCTGATCACCCGATCCCGTTAGTTGCCTCTTACAACAAGCATGGGTCACTGAAGATCAATTCTAACCCGGATCTTCACGGGTCCGCTCTTCAGTAAGAACACGTCTTGTCGTGTTATCTGAGACACCGCACCTCTCTGTGCAGCTCCCTTGGGCTTGCCAGGAATCTATTATCGCAGCTTCGTATTCTCAGTCCACCCTGATTAATATCCTTGGTTTGTCAGTAACATATCCCTGCTTGTAGGCTTGACCCACGTGGTAAGTGTCTACCTCTTTTCCGGATATTCTCAACTGACATACTGTCCAGATCTACGTTAGACCAACTGATTCACTCAGTACATACTTACATATTCCAGGCAGAGAGGATCGAACCCGAGAGCCACTCCTTCCTGAACCTTACCGACTTCACCCACCCCTGTATGATGGACTTCTATGACAGGTGAGTACGGGATACTTGTTTAGGGGCACGGCCTCCTAAAGAGTGTCCCACATCAAGTATATTAACATGTGATGCTTATCATTAAAACATAATGACACTTTCCGTGTGGTGGTGGTGGTGGTGGAATTGAGTTTAACGTCGTACTTGAGAATATTTCGCTCATATGACGACGTGCATGCGTGTGTATGTGTATGTGCGCCTGCTTGTACTAGCCCAGACTGAAGCTGGTTTTATAGTTCTAGCCCACTGAGATACCATGCCGCAGTGAAGCATGGATACCCCACTCAGACACATTATACTGACTCCGAGCCGACCAGTCCTTGTTGTACCCATTAATTCCGAGCGCCAGGCAGGGACCAACAAGTACCATATTTTAACGTCTTTTGGTATGACGCGGTCGGGGATCGAACCCGCGACCTTCCGCACTCCGGGTGGACGCTCTAACCACTACACCACGGAGGCGGTTTAATGTTGTGTAGCCAATGCTTGTGTATAATACTTTCTTTACTAGTATTCACGTGTGTATACGCCCGAGGTATTGAAGCGAATATTCACGTGCGCTTGGTTTTTTGTTTGTGTATGTGTGTGTGTTTTTAACGATTTAACGCTTACTCTTAACGCATATTTCTTGGGACACAAGAAATAACTTAAGCTTCACACATTGTACCTATATTGAGAATCGAACCCCAGTGCTCGGCGTGACGAGCTAACGCTTTAACCACTAGGCTATCTCACTGCCTCGTATGTATTCACAAGCTGACATAGCAACGTAGTCAGTCAGCCTTATGTTACTGATGTTCAAGGAAAATACGTTACATTCTCCGAGTACTGCAAGTTCTCAATACAAACATACAGTCAAACACCGTTGTGTCGAAGTTGACCTTCGTAAATACGTCGACTTACCAGAGGTTCGACACAACCGAGAAATATTAAATTTCGGAATAATACGAAGACACCCAGCTTTTACTTCGAGACATCCGTAAGATCGACCAATCAAAGTTCGACATAACAGTGTTTGTAATTTCATTGTGTGTTTCCAGGTTCCTGTTCACCCTCAGCGTCCCCCACACCATCACCGACATCAACCTCACACCAGACAAACCCAGCAAGAAGCAGATATGTAAGTATGGGGCATAAATATTTCACATATACATGTAAGACATGTGATGGACACGTGTCTCTTCAGATACACATCCTCCTTAATTTCTTGGTTTTGTGTCGTTCAAGCACAGCGAGGTGGCTATGTTGGTGAGTCGTTCGCTTGAGCGATGTGGGATCAGAGTTTGAATCCAGAAAAGACAAATAACTGCATGTTTGTGTCACAGACAGGAGATCTTTAAAGCTTATTTCATGAAAAGGACTTTTTCAAGTCAAGTTTCGTTTTATTCACCGGACTTCCACGCCTGTCCATTCATTTGGCGTTAGATTCACAAATGAGTGAGTCAGTGTTTAGGCTGACCACGTGTCCGTTTTCTCCTATTTCTGGTACCAGGACGAGTGGCCAAAGAGTGGTCTCATGAAGCATTAAAATCGTAGATTCGCAGCACAGTGATGGTTTCACCACATGAATTCATTAACAACAAGGAACTATAGTCTGTTTGCAGTGAAAACGTACCGATGAATTTCACATTAAACAAAAAAGTAAATCAAATTAAGTAAAATTAAGATTGCGAATCCTCATAATTTTACCTTGCCAAATGAACATTTAAATCTCAGAATTTTATTCAACTCAGGATAAAGGTGGTTTAACAAACGATCATAGATTCAAATCGCTATTATTTCTTTGTAGTACAAGGGGGTAAGCGCAGTAGATGGAACAGTGAAACAACTGCACGTGCGGTACATGATGAGCGTTATCTTAGACCAACCTTACTTGTTCTCGGTGTTTCATTTAATGTGCATATCCCCTTGTAATACAAACCAATAACAGACTATAGGCTAGGAGAGAGGGGTTCGTAGTCGACTAACAAAAATACGAATGAAAAAACAACACTCTCTCGGTCAATTTTAGAAATAATGATATATTTTAACTTTTCTGCCCCGATTCAAGTTTTATATGGTACACCTTTCTCAGTGTCCAACCAAGACATGTACAAAAGTCGGTCAAGTCGACCCAGTTCCGCCCACAGCACGTGCAGCTCTGCCTTCCGATGTGGAACAACATCCGGGCCTCAGAATGGCATGGCAACGAGGCGGCGTCATGACTACGGGGAAGCAATCAGAAAACACAACTCAAGACCGAAAACAGCAACCGAATATCTTGGTAGATATACCATTTCTGTTTCAGTTATTCTTTCAGACATGTGAAAATGTGCGACACTTGCGCTATCGTTATACAATAGATATGTATTACACTGAAAACGTTGAGTTTATAAATGATGAATCTTTATCTCAAGTAGATATACTGCCGATTTCTAGTTAATGTCTAGATATATCAATCATAGCAATATGAAGAAGTGTGTACTCTTTGACCTTTTCTTAGTGTATTATTTGAGTTCCCTTTCGTTAACACAACATTAAATTTTAACGAACGTCGTAACGACTATTCCTATCCATAGCGCCATAGGGCTTGTGTTTGTAATTTAATGCCACACTCAGAAATATTCCTACATGATGGCAATCCGGAAATAATCGAGTGTGGACCAGACAATCCTGTGGCCGACATCATGAATATGAGTTTTCGAAAAAGTCACTTTTGAAAAACAAATGGTTAGTTTTATAGTTTTAGGGCGACGTTTGAAAAACAGAGATTGACAAGCAAGTTACCTCCCTTACTCATCCCCGTATGTCGACGTTCGACTGGTAAAGTGCTAATGAAAAGCCTGCATGTCATCGTGACCTGTCGACATGTATCGATGCTCATGACATCAACCACTGGTCAACGTGTCCAGACTCGATTATGTCTATGATACAGCTGTAATATTGGTGAAAAGGGGTAAAGAAACGTTCACTAATTTAATCTTTCTCATAATTATTTACAATATTGGTTTCACTGTCAGCTATGGTCGACAAACAACGGAAGAAGGCTGCCGAGATGCAACGAGCGGCTTCTGCCAGTCTAGGGACATCCAAATCGCCATCTAGCGGTTATCGATCAAATGACTCTCGTCAAGGGGGGACAACATCAGTCACAGAGAGCGGAAGACACACCAGAACGTCGGCAACAAAAATATTCCACATCGAGACCCCAACCAACTACAATATACCGGTAAGCTCACTGATGTATACACTCTGTACTTAATGCGTTTATGACCTGATTGACTGATGAACGAAACCTTAATCGGTTGAGGGAATAAAATTAATACTTTCAGTGACATTCAAAACGAATGTCTTGAAAACACACCGAAGAAGATCCGGGTTAGAATTCTAACCCATGCCTGTCGTAAGAGGCGACTAACGGGATCGGGTGGTCAGGCTCGCTGACTTGGTTAACATATGTATCCCAATCGCGTAGATCAATGCTCATGCTGTTGATCACTGGATTGTCTGGTCCAGACTCGATTATTTACAGACCCACGCCATATAGCTGGAATATTGCTGAGTGCGGCGTTAAACAACAAACAACATCTTGAAAACAACCAACAGAGCAGAATAGTTTTCTATATTTGTTATTCTGTTTCAGGTGTTTCAGCATATTAATATAAAACAAGCCCCCCGGATGTACTACAGGTAATCAGGGAATTAAGTCCTTATCTTAAACAAACCTATGTCGAAACAAGCTTCTTTCATAGTAAAGGATACTAGTAAGGATACGTCCACAGACACTAACATTTCTGGTTGGCCTTGCATTTAACCAGACACCTTCACGCCATGTCAGTTTAAATGACACTGCTGATGTATCTCCATGCGACAGCGTTACTGTCAGAAACAAAGGCGATAAATATACTCATGCCAATAATGGTTGTCATCCCCTTATTAATTTGTTTTATTGGAGAGTGTGTGTGGGAGTGTGTGGGTGGGGGTGGGGGTGGGGTGTTTGACAACCATTGAACTACTGAAATAATATTGATGCATAAGCTTCCTTACCCTCAGTGGCTGTATGCTCAAAGGGGGTTAAAGTATCGTAAAATTATTGTCCTCCTGAGAGGTTACGTAAGTCCCAACACTTTCAAAGTCAATTTCGCACAACCATACTTTTAAATCGTAGTATTTTTGTTATTTTAACTTTCGGCTAAAACTTCCTACATCGCCAGCGGCTGAAGGGATGGTGTAAATCCAGCTAGGGTCCATGCAGGTAGCAAAAGTAATGAAAGTCCCCATGGTTCCTAGTATTGTGATCTAGATTCAGTTGTTGGCGATCTATAGCCCGTGTTTTATATTGTATTGTCTTCTTTAATTAAAATCTTTTAGTTTGACATGCTAGTTTTATGTTCATATATGTGATATTCTAGTATTTTTACTGTCCATCGTCGACAGGTTTTACTCTCCAAAATGTTTTCATTTTTAATTGTATAAATTGTTTTCGTCACGATATGGCTGAGATATTGCCGATGTGACGTTAACTATTAACTCACTCACTCACTCACTCACTCCTTACCCTCAGGCCGTGGAGCGGAGACAAACTACCTATAGCTGTGGTACATCACCCCAAACCTAAACCAGCGTTCTACTGATGCTGCGGGGAGTGAGCCAGCACGGTCTGTCAGCGTAATGAGGAAAGGAAGGACGGCTAGGAGTACACGCAAGTTGGAGACGTATGGTGGAGTCAAGCGTTGACCTTGAACTTCTTCTTGTGTCTATGTTCATAAGTACTGATACAGGCTATGTAACTGCGAGTATCTCAGATCCCAGGATTCAACAACGGAGTTTCTGGAGCATAATGTGGCACTAGAGTTCACAGCTGCCGGTTATATTATATGGACAGTGAAACCTCAGTAATCCGGACGGTGAAAGGATATTCTGTACTAGCAACTGTGACTGCTCTTAATCAGTGTTTAATTATGTTAATGTTGGAAACTATTTCCATAAACCATCGGCCTACCATATATCATTGACTGTATCATAACAATTTCGTCCCGTGAAGATCATGGTCAGAAGTGATCTTCAGCAACACATGCTTGTCGAAAGAGGCGACTGACGGGATCAGGTGGTCATGCTCGCTGACTTGGTTGACACACGCCATCGTATCCCAATTGCGTAGATTGATGCTCATGCTGTTGATCACTGGATTGTGTGGTCCAGATCCGATTGTTTACAGACCGCCGCCATATAGCTGGAATATTGCTGAGGGCAGCGTTACACAACAGACAAACCAAAATCATACCCATTTCGTCAACATCCTCATGTTTCGGTTGTTGTAAGGATTGGTTGATGCACCGTATAATCTCTCCAAATCATTTTCGTCATTGGATATGTTCCTGTGACTGAGCGTCTTACCGATTCTTCTAGTGCTGTGAGGACTTCACATCATACTACGGTCATCAGTCTGTTTGTTCGAAAACGAGGAGCACATTCAGTAGGTGTCCTTAGTACATATATATATAAATATATATATATACATAGTTTGTCACTGTGTATGTCTGTAAGCAGTGGGTTGGCTCGTGACCCCGAAGACCCGGGTTCGATGTGTGAAGCCCATTTCTGGTGTCCCCCGCCTTGATATTGATGTGATAATGCTGAAAGCGGCATAAAACCCATCTCACTCACTATAAACAGGGTAATATCTGTTATGAACCTCGGTTTCAGGGTCCAAAACACGTACATATTTTGCGTCATGCTTTAAGGTGTGAGATGAACATGTTGGGTGTCCAAAAACAATTCTCTGTTTTAAAGAGTAAAACCGTTCGGACCCTTCTTTCTATGGAATCCTACAAGGGACATTGTCACGTTGTCGCCCTCACAAAAACAAGAAAAAAGTGTCAAATGAACCAAAGCGTGACAACGCGAAATTTTGGTCATTTGTCGCATTGTCGCTATGTCGCATTATCGCTTTGGCTATTTTTCTTATTTATTAAAGGGCGACATAGCGACAATATGTTAAAAAGGTTAAAATATGTCGCCCCATCTAACCCTTACGCGACAATGTTCATTCTAGGATCCCATACCTTTCAGAGACAAGTATTGTGATTGGAAAACTATTGTCACATCAATATATGTCACTTTCTTGTCAACACCGTTTTTAAAAGATGCGCCTTAAAAGAAGCTTACTGTTCCTCATCGTTTCCCCTGGAGTGAATGACAACTGAATTCGAACACAGGAGCATACTGTACGGACGCAATCCACCGACAAGTACACATCAAACATTCTGCAAAGATGTTCATCCAGAAAACTGGAACAGTCGGAGTAGTGAGAGGATCATATTTGTAATACTCTGGTGAAAATCGTGACTTAGTTCTGAGATTAAAGATTACTGTCAAGTCAAAAATGTGATATGGACACATATAAGAGACTGTGAATTACAGCGCTTCGATATGTAACTGTTGCTTGTTTACTCAATACATAAATTGTGTTATAACTTAGAATGAAGTTGTCTGTGTTTGTTCAAAGACTCGTCGTCTCTTGAGTCACTTGCCAACATGAACGAAACATGACCTAAACTCCTCGTTTTAATCCTTAGTGAGGCGTTTTCCGGAAGTGTTTCATTTGAGTGTCATTGTTATTTGGATGACGACATATTGTTATAGAAGGAGTGATTGAGTATGGGTTTTTATCAATATCACGGCGGGGGACAGCAGAAATAAGCTTCACACATTGTACCCATGTGGGGATTCGAACCCGGTTCCTCGGCGTGACGAGCCAACGCTTTAACCACTAGGCTACCCCACCGCCCTGTTATAGAAAGTCGATCATGTTAATAATAAGAAGCGGCATAACCACATCCCTGCACAACACATATTCAAATTTCAATGATGTCATAGTTCTTGTATAAACAAACAGAAATAGTATTTTGAGACTGGATTATAATTTGAGATCTACTCCCATGACTAGTTAGAACACAAATTGTAGGTTGTGTACAATTAAATTGCTACATTGGAAGATAACGCACAGTCGGACAGAAATGAACCAGCAGTCTGCGGATGTATGACTGTTTCATTCATGACATATTTATTGTGTTCACTGTTATAAGTTATTGTTCATATTCACATGTTTATATACACATATAATGTAGCCTCTCTCTTGTAGGCCCTCTCTTGTAGCCCTTCTCTTGTAGGCTAAAGTGAGCATTACTAATTGCCCCTGCATCTGCAGTTGTCCCAATGGATTCGCGTATCCTGCTTAGTGACGGAGGAGTAATGTCCCCATGGTTTCGCGTATCCGCTTAGTGTCGGAGGAGTAATGTCCCCATGGTTTCGCGTATCCGCTTAGTGTCGGAGGAGTAATGTCCCCATGGTTTCGCGTATCCGCTTAGTGTCGGAGGAGTAATGTCCCCACGGTTTGCAAAGACGCATCCAAGTCAGGATCTTCCATACAGGTCCCTTGGGTTACATAGATGCGTTTTCACCGGTGTCAGATAGGGATCTTATATAGACGTTTCCTTGGTTTGCTTAGAAGCGTTTTCACCAGACGTGTTCGGCTCAGTGCCGGATGAGGACTTGTTTCTGTTCCTCTTGTACATGTCCTCGACCTGCTGTATCGTGTTTGGCAGCTCTGTCCCCTTCGTCTCTGGCAGGAGGACTACAGCGAGGGCGGACAGGAAGCAGAAGGAGGACATTAACACCCCGGGTAGCCAGGTCATGTGTTTCATCTGAAACAGGATGTAGTAGATTCAGATGATACTTGATTAGAATTCAAGAGTAACCCTAATAGTAATTCTTGATTTGTGAACACCAGAATACCGGCGCCGAAGATCTGGACTCGATTCCCCACATGGGTACATTGTGTGAAGACCATTCCTGGTGTCGCCTGCCATGATACTGCTTGCATATTGCTAAGCGCGGCGTAAAACAATACTCCCTCGCCTGTAAGGACGTTTGCTCTGCTCCCACGAAAAGCAAACCTTTAACTCAAGAACTGCAGAAGGCCACGTTAAACCAAACTCACTCTCCTCCCTCATTCACTCACTCACTTAATAGCATATGAGTGATACTTGTATAAGGGCCCTGGTGACATGCGTCGGATGACGAAAAACAAACAAACAACAGTAAACACAGAGTTTGATTTACTCTCTTCAACCATTGAACAAAACGATGACCTACCAGAATAGCCGTAAAAGGGGCGAGTAGAGATCCTATCCTCCCCGTGGTCGAATTTATTCCAAGCCCAATGTTCCTGGCGGATACAATAGTAAATTAGATCAAGAGGATTCTCTCATTGTAGTGATCAATTGGGACTTTTGTCTGGCAACGTATTGTAAACAAAAAAAGGAACATTCACATGTGTTACTTTGCGTCCCAAACATACCCATATTGAACAAAGTGTGTTTCTCGTGGATAAATCGGGTTTATGGGTGTAATGCGCTTACACTAAAGTGATCCCTTCTCTCATTCACAAAAGTGAGGCAACGTTGTCTCATTGACTGCCTTACTAATGTGAACACACTCTGCGCCATTTCTGTACCAACATGGTGCCCAGCTCTTGAACATGCTGGGGTTGACGTCTCAAAGCACGTGTTCAGTTGAGGTCAGGTTATACCGTTAGCCACTCCATGACGTTAATACCTGCATTTTGAAGCACATTTAGCCATCTGCAGGACAGTCTGGTGCAGTTGTGCCCAGTGTAGACGTTCATTGCAGTTTAGTTGTGACAGAATCGGCTGAAGGACGAAGATGGGCAGCACGCAAGCGGTCTGGTATGGTCTGGGCAGTTACCTAAACAGTGTGTTACTGGTTGGCGTTGCAATAGTTAAACGATTACGCAAATGACGTAGCCAAATTTGATTGTACCATGCATGTGACGTCACACGTGACCTCCTGACCTTGGACGATCAGATGTCATATCCGGTTGGTGCACACGTGTCCTCAGGTTGTGAATTGTCCGTCTACTGCATCTCACGGCAGGTTCATCAGCCACAGTAACTGACCAACATGGAGCATGCCAATCGCACGTCCACGTTCAGCATTTGGAAGGCGTGGCATGAAAAGTGCTAAACGCTAAAGGATTGTTGACGGGTTGGGTTTTTTAATCCCCAGCAAATTCTGCATACGTGGTGTAGGCACGTGAAATTATGGTCACGTGACCCGCGCACGTGCAGGGTCAGGGCGGATGCGTCAGGTTAGATCCCGCCATTATAGTATTCGCACACATTAACTACCCTGTACTACCCATTTCAATTTAATACGAGTCTCCACGTATGGTTTATTTTTCTGTTCATCCATTATATCAGTCATTCATACACATTTCTAATTTGTTGTTTCTCAATTATCAGTCATGCTGAACTTGGAGTGATCTGATGCAGAACTGTTGCAAAGCAACCTTACACGGATGGAGAGCTAGCAATATTGTGTACTTGTTTACTTACCTCACGTTTGTGGGATAGACTTCAGTGGTAAACAGAAGCAAGGACACAAAGGTTGCACCAATAAATACTCTTCCCACAAAGGCGAACACTGTGGCCAAGATGTGCCAGGATGCGTTGGCTGAAATCACATTGATAGAGACATAACCACTCCTTGTCTAATAACAGAGAAATTAGTGAATGAAGAGAGCAACGCCACACTGCAAAGCATTTCACTTACAACAAGCAATGTCAGCTTAATGTCCGCGGCTACCATTATAATGATGAACCGATGAGGACGGTGTGCAGGGCCTAGATTTTCGAAGCTCTCTTAACGCTAAGATTTTCGTAAGTGCCATACATTAACATTAACCTACGACTATCTTAGCGCTGAGAGAGCTTCGGAAATCTAGGCCCCGCACACCTGATTCGAACTCATAATCAGCTGATCTGCCAAAGCGACGAATGATGGGGATCGAATTTGTAACTATTAGCGTGGCTTCAGCTTCAAGCTTTTCAAAATAGTACAAACTACTTGTCCTGAACATACAGTAAACTACGTTTATACCGAAGATGGTTATAACGAACTGTCGGATATCACGAAGTGTTTGGGTTCTAATTGTCCCGAACACTTGCTGTATATTTTAGACGAAATGACGCACTACGGCAATAACGAACTACAATTATTGGCCCCCTTTGAGTTCGTCAAAACCGTAGTATACTGAATCTGACAACTCTATGATCTTACCTGTAACTAGTTTTATTAGTGTGGAAACCAGAAGACCAACTCCGGACATCAGGTAAAATATTGTGAATGTTTTCTTCCGGCCGAGTCTGCCGAAGTGAAAGACTCACAATGTTTCAATAGATATACACAAAACAATAGGTTAATTACGTAAAGGGGAAGTGAACACGAATAAATCACATTTATTTCTATGTGAATCAAAGTGAACTGTTTTAATAAGTTAATACCAATGTTTGAAATATACACTCAGTTTTCTTACAATGAAAGTATAACCCTCAAAACAAGTGCTGAAATGTTATGCCAATATGAGGCCTTTGTTTGCCGAGCTAAACAGGCCTTACCGCCCTTTGATTATGACGTAATGGTGCCACTTGGTTTTAAACTGGTCTCCTGTCTTGTCCCAAATCAAAAGATAATAACACTGAAATTAAGTTTGTGAAAATTCGAACGAAGCATAAGAACAGAAAATGTAAGCAGCAGGACAGATTGATCGTGTGTATTTTCATTCATAACCTCACCTCAATGAAAATACCAAATATGTATAACAATGTTGACGTCCGTATGACATCACTATCGGGAAGCGACTTTTTCAAAATGGCGTGTTCACTGACACGAGTACGCCGGAGTTTTCGAAGACATTTTCGTTGTTTCAAGCAACGCATATGCATAAATGTGACATGTAAGTAGTCCGAAACTTCTGTCAGTCTGCTGGTTGTTGTTTTTGGTTTTTTGTTTTCATGATGACCAAGGGAAATAGTCAGAAATTAAGAGAGGTACCGTTATGTTGTGCGTGAGTTTTCGTCAGTCATGGCGTCACGCTTTCAGAAACTATAATATGTTGTGATGAAGCTAGAAAATCATTGGAATACACCTATTTTATTTAACTATCGCTTGCTACGATACCTTTCCCATGCATGTTCTAAAACTAATGAGCAAGTGTATGCAACAAGTAGCTATAGGCGAACGGATACACAGTGTAAAATCTGAGATTGGCTTTGTTTACATTTCAAACAAGTGGTCCTTTCCCAGCGCGGCATCTGATATATTTCGTTCGATTTCACTGAAACACTTCGAATTGGTGACAAAGTCCATTTGTCAGTTTATTTTAAACTGTATGAGGGATTCAGGGATTCATGTCAGGAAGATGGTGTTGAACTATATACAATTGATTTTATGGGCGAAACATAACCGACATACATGTGTCGTGATTTTATAAACACTCTGTAATATGGCTGAAAATTCTTTTGCGTATTTTCCAAAACATTCTCAGCGATTCTCGGTTCGACAATGTTTCAGAACGAGCATTGGTGATTTGATCATACAACAACAAAACTACCGCTGATCACAATGATACGTCTTTTTCTTTTAAATTCAATTCTCCCAGTAAAATTTGAAATATGAATTAAGACAAACTATAAATTACGCAAAACGCAGTGAATGGTGATTTAGTAATGTGTCAAAACTGGCGAGATTTACGATGCATGTAATTTTCAGTATATTTGATCTACAATGAGCGGATGATATAGAAAAACGAGTTCAAAAGTGCAAATTGCATTTATCTTCGTGATGTATTTGGATATGGTATCGATATCAAGTGAAGGTGGAAGAGGACGGACATATTGTAGGAATTTTAGTAACAAACGTAGAATGCCGGCACATCCACCAATGGCAAGCTAGATGTAGTGCACGTTTTAGTTTTTGTGAAAAAAGATGCTGTTGAAAAGGCGACCAACTCAGGTTGAATTTAGGAGATAAACATCATGTGTGGACCAATTTCCGGGTGTTATTGAGTATTTGAAGCACGGGAATTCATTTGGAATACTCAATAACACCCGGAAATTGGCCAACACATGATGTTTATCGACATTGTAAACCCACAAGTAAACCAAAAGGTCCACACACGTTTTTGTGTCTGCTCTCATTGACATCGAGTACGAGAACGGCAGTGAAATGTCATCAGCCGGCCGTTTCGGCTGTCTCCAATGGTAGCATTTGGAACTGCTCATTTGTGACGTCATTCGGACTTTGCGTCACAATATGATTTGAATGACGTCATCACAGCTGACGACGTAACTATACAATGGTTGTGAGCGATGTTTGTACGCATTATTATTACCCACGTGGTCAACGTATGGGTAGTTGCATACTAATCTCGTACGTCACACGAGTGTCGTATCGCGTTGACCTGTGTCGTAACGACTTGACCTGAGATTCTAACGATTTGATTGTATAACCGATGACCTCTCAATTAGGTCACGTTGTGACGGAACTACTTTTTCATTCATTACAAACACGTGAATTCATTCATTCCACTCTCCTACCCAGAGTTCCATGCGGCAAACCAGCATAGTACCTCTGCCACAGGCCAGAAAAATGTGACGATTCGTCACATCTTGCAATGTCCATTCAATATAATGTACATATTTCTTAACTCTTTTATTGTTGACGAGTCTACACATCTAACTAAACATTTTTTAATAGAATGGTTTAGTTTCACTGAGAAAATATCCAAAAACATGTAACACTATTTCGATTTGCGTAGCGATCCTTTGTTTCCATAGGTTGTACGGCTCCACGTGCTGTCATCGAAGCCGACGGAGAGCAAACGATGCAGCCAGCTTGATATCTAAATATGTACTGTCATAGACCTAACTGTCGCAGTTGTGGAAGAATATATATGTAACAATGTAAAACATTATGAAGAGAGCGCCTAAAAGCTTTCGTGAGTCCAGTCTCTTCTTATTATGAATATGCGCGTTTGATTACAAACAAGAGAAAAGTCTGGTCACGTGATATGCAAATTAGCCTGTGGCAGTGATGTTATGTTAAGTCATCGCTGTGCCGGAGTGTGCATTCATTCTACAACTTAAATGCATTGTGGGAAGTAAACATTGCGAACGTTACCGTATCGCTGTTTAATTTGGAGTCGAACTGAGACATTATATGCGTCGAAAAACATAAACGCAAAGTTTCCACCAGTGATGTTAGCCGAGTGAAGTAACTGCAAACTATGAAACGGGGTGCTACGGAGTATTTTAATGTAGGTGGCTGTACGAGGCGATGACAACTGACATGCATCGTGACGTCGGTTACCAAGGGGTCAGACGAGCAAGGCGTAGTGACGTCATTACAGTGTGACGTCATGCAAAAAAGTGTACTACAGAACAACATTCTTCCGCAACCTCTTTATGAAACCGGTTTCGGTTTGAAACCATAAAAATAACACAAATACGCTATTTTGTCGATTTAAAAGCATGTAAGACGTGGGTAATAAATAAAATACCACACTAGGTCTCATAACATACGAATTATACGAAACTCGTGACCTTCCTATGGTTTCTGACTTGGCTTTCGCTCGGTCAGATACCATAGGAAGGACACTCGTTTCGTATAATTCGTAGGTTATGAGACCTCGTGTAGTATTCTCTATATACGCAGCGAATTTCCGGGAATCGAATACCTTTCGATCATGTTTTTCAAACAATCAGATTAAAGAACACAGTGACTTTTGGTTTACAATGTTATACAATTTGGTGACGTGGTAACACATTTAGTACAATGTATACGTTTTTTTCAAACTGCAACGTCAATACAGTGTAGAACTGATCACATAGCCAGCTGACGGCCAGGCAACAGGTGGATTAAAACAGTAGCCTGCGCATCGAGACACAAGAACCACGCCTATACATGCACCACGTGGAATGGGTCTAATAAGGTCTGACGACGTCATTCGTTTATCGTTTGGGCACCAATGACGTCATTTTCAAGGGACATAAGCCATGGTGTGTTTATTGAGGACATAGAACTCTCGGTAAATGTTGAAAATATGAATTGATATAACGCAAAAAATAAATTAGTTACTTCTGATATATGTACGGGTTTGGATATAAAACTACTTTTAATTTTCGTGTACACTTGCCCTTTAAGGAGACGATGACATGTCAAGTAAGGAAAAAAGGAATTAGGGTAACCTCCCCTTTCCATATTGTTACTGGTGTATTGTTATATGAACGTAAACTGATGCGGGCTTTGTTTGCTCTCCTGTTGACCTGTCACAAAGTAACATAATAAATAAGCAATAACACAACAGTGTCACAGCGGGATGTAAATAGCCATGCTGCACGTTTAGCATGCATGTCTGGTCACATGTCAGACCGGCCATCTGCAGCTGCAGCGTGTGTCCAAAACCAAGGTCATTTGAGCGAGCACTGGGGTTATCTCCCCTGAGGTGGGCTAGGAACGCTTAGTCCCTTAATATATATAATTTTGATGGAAACAAACATGTATTTACGAAACGCTTAAAACCCCACCGGAGCCCCAGGAGAAGTGATATTCCTGAGGAATCTAGACTTACTTCATTTAGGGTTTTAGCTTTGCAGATAGGGTTGAATGGAAGGTAAAATACTGCTCTTCCGGGACTGAGAGACAGACCTGGCCCCGATTTCTCGAAACAAACTTAAGTTTTTACCCAAATCTCAAACTGAGTTTGACCATTTGAAATTGGTGCGTTTTTAACTCAAGTGCATTTTTAAAACAAAAAAGCCCAAATAACTTCAGTAATATATCCACCAAACTCAAATTGTCTACTATGTTTGAGCTTAATATTGTTTTCAGTTTATTCTAGGAAATGCATTTTCTTGCGTTGTCTCAAATTTGAGTAAAAACTCTAACTTAAGTCAAAACTCAGACTTAAGTTTGTTTCGAGAAATCGGGGCCAGGCTGTCTTGTCATCTGTGATTCGTTGATTGAGAGTTGTTTACGCCTCACTCAGCAATATTCCAGCTAAATGGCTGCGGTATATAAATAATCGAGTGAGTGAGAGAGGTTGGTTCAACGCTGACGTTAAAGCATCGAGTCTGTTTGACAGAGAAGCTTAGACTGATGCAGTTTCCTGTCCCCAGCAGAACGCCCACCCTAAGCCTGTGTTTAAGTAGGAATTAAGTCCACCTTAAATTGCGTTGCGAAACGGAGCCCTTGTGGAACAAAACAACCTTTGCGCTATAGCCGTCGTAAGTGTAAGTTTAGGTATGGGACTTACGATCACCTTAGGTCGTTTTGTACAAAGGAAACATTGCTTAAGAGATGTACATCTAACGCTTAAACGAGTTCGTACATGGTGTGTATGTATGTACGTGTCTTACAGATTTGCCATAAGCCGCCCCTCAGACCAATATAAGACTGTCACTGGCTAGAAGGCTCAGTTTACAAACAGCCTCTGAGTATAGATAGTTTTGATAGAAACAAAGAATTCAATCAAAATTGAAAAGGAGCCTCAGTGAGTCGGGAGATTCGGAATCTGTCTAAATTTAGAATTGCTTCATTTACAGTTTTACCATCGTTAAAAGGGCTTTGCGGAAAGGAAAATAATGCAGTTCAGGTACTGTGAGACAGACTATTTACAAAGTGTGCGACACAGTAGGTGGGTGTATATATTTATCCAAAGGCATTTCATCTTAAAATAGTCACTTCACAAAATGATATTAAACTAATGATTCCCTGTTTTAATCCCTTCTGCTGCAAGTCATTTTCCAGGAGTGTTTCCGTACCACAAAGTATAAGAATAGTACTAGTGCCTGAGTCAAATGCACTGAATACACATTTCCCGGTGCTTGCTTGTTTAAAATATAATTCCCCATGACGAAGGTCGTTGACTTTGATCTATTTTATAACATCAATCAGCACCAGCGGATCCTTACACAGCAGCAGAGGGATATAACTCTGCCACGCTAGCTTCCACCATCTTTAAGACATTGTATTACCTGTCAGAGAGAAGCCAGAAGAGGAACCCGGATGGAAAGTCGGACACCGAGTTGAGGACAAAGTTGAGGTATACGTCACTGGCGAGGGTGTTTGACGTCAAGTAGAGGCTGAAGTACGTTGACGTCGCCGTCATCCTGTGTAAATAATAATGTTTTACAGGACTCTTCCTAATCATCTTAGACAGAAATATTTTATTCTTCCCATTTCATATCATTTGCATCTATTGTCAATTGATAAGCGTAAAGGACGTAATGGGAGTTATAACTACATCAGAAGCTACTAGTACATTTAGATGTTTGGGAGTCAAATGGAATCTAGAATCTTCCAGAATGGCACAGAAAACTTCAGAAGAAACATTGTAGAGTTGTTTTCAAGACTGCATAAGTACGCATTACAACACGTTTGTGGGAAGATCTGAATTTCATCCTATATATCCATCGAAGGTCTATTTTGGAAGCTTGACCTGGTGAATATTGTCATCGTTGGTTTTATTGCTACTGCTATTATTGTCACTGCTACTGTTTTGTAGGGTGCCACTGAATGTCGTACTGCTGGTTTAGTCTGCATGGCTGATATAAATACTTTCCAGTGTATTGATTGTTAAACCAAGGTAAGTTTATAATACAATTGTTCCTTGCAAAATATATTTTCGTTTTGCTGTTTTCACACCGAATTCTTTGGCAAAAGTAGATTTAAGGGTGAAGTTGTTGTTGAAGAATTGTTTCAGGTTGGAAATCGATACGTCACAATATACACTTTCATTTTGATAAGGCACAGAGATGACAGTGTCAGTGTACTCGTATTTCACTGTGATATGTATCAACACGGTATCGCTGTACTCTTATTCTGTTTCTTTTGACAGTTTGATTGTTTACAGTCTGTAAATAATCGAGTCTGGACCAAACAATAAAGTGATATACAGCATGAGCATCGATCTACGCGATTGGGATACGATGACATGTGTCAACCAAGTCAGCGAGTCTGACCACCTGATCCCGTTAGTCGCCTCTTACGACAAGCATATATAGGTTACTGAAGATCAATTCTAACCCGGATATTCACGGGACATTCTGTTACTTCTCACTTTAGTTATTTATAGAAGCTGCAATTGTTAATAGCCAATTGTTATTAATGGCCATATATACATGATAATCAATTTAAGGCCAGCCAAGTTGTATTTCTTGTTTTACAGACTTTGGTTCTCAGGAAACCTAAAGGCAGGAGGGGAAAAAAATTAAAATAAAATCACCAGTAAGTAATATTCCTTCTAAACACTAAAAGTATTTTACTTTCGGCAATTTATGAAGACATTGGGCAAAAATCAATCTAAAACATTTCTTGTAAGTTTACATTTTTTTGCCAATTAAAAACATTAGGATTTTAGTTTTTGAGCGGGACAAATTAATTTTTATTTTTATTCTTATTTTTGAAATAATACGGCCTGCGGATCCGTAAAACAAGAAATAAAATTGGTCTGGTCTTGGTAGAAATTATACGACTAATATTGCTGTTGTGCACCCATGAAAATACACTCACCACAACCAAGACAGCAAGGCAAAGTTGATCATTAAGTGTTTGTTGTATATAACATCCTTGAATGTGAACATAGCGTTATTTGTATTGTTAAGACTTCCGGGATTATTTTTCTGACACTGTTGTGCAGGAAGCTTTTCCGAGGACGTCTGTGATACGTCTCCATTTACGTCCACTTCCATATTTGGCATGTGCAATCTTTCAAGAACCGCTGTGAGGTCAATCCGGTTTTTCCTAGCAGCACGTTTAAGTATTTTCACAAGGTCAGCCCTTTTTCCATTCACATGGAGCCACCGTAATGATTCGTCGATTACCCTGTAATGAAATTTAGGGAATTACTTTTATTTACAACATTAAACTCTTCTGCAATGGTGACATAATGATTCCTGAACTATAAATGATGTTGATTCTATCTTTGCTTTTCTTACATACCCATTCTAGAAGTCTCTATTGTTATTTTGGGGCGGTAGGGTAGCCTAGTGGTTAAGGCGTTCGCTCGTCACGCCGAAGACCCGGGTTCGATTCCCCACATGGGTACAATGTGTTAAGCCCATTTCTGGTGTTCCCCGCCGTGATATTGCTAGGAATATTGCTAAATGCGGCGTAAAACCAAACTCACTCACTCACTCTATTGTTATTTTGCATCGGGAACATCAAAACTATATACTCATCGTTCACAAGTATTATGAATATATATAGCGATGCAAAAAACGATTGATTGAAAGGCTAAAATGAATATTCATTTAAGAATTAATTATACTTCAAGAGATTTTCGTTACTAGGGGTATATACGTGTGAATCGTGCGCATACTATGTCCATGTCGCCTGGGAATCGAACCCGGGTCTTCAGCATGACGAGCGACCGCATTAACCACTAGGCTACCCCACCATCCCGCTCAGTTTACAAACTGTGCAACTCAGTAGGTGGTTGTATATAGTTGTCCAAAGGAATTTCATATCTCTATAGTCACCTCACAATATAAAAATCATGGTTTTAATCCGTAAAATAATTATAAAGCCGTGGTCAACATCTTAGTAAACAGCGATCCCCATTCTTGATACTTTACGAGAAGATTTTCCGATTTTTATGCTTTTATGTCGGAACTACGAAAACACAACGTCATAAGATGGGCTTTTTTCAACGCCGCACTCAGCAATATTCTAGCTATATATACAGTCTGTTAATAATCGAGTCATGACTCGAGAGACTGACATCATGAACATCGATCCGCGCAACTGGGATACGATGAGCCAAGACCGCGCGTCTGAGGACCCGATCCCCTTAGTCGCCCGTTACGACACACGTGGGTTCCTGAAGACAAATTCTATCCCGGATCTTCATGGGTCACGTGATAAGTGAGTCGGAGCTGTTCTGCCGACTTTAGAAACGAAACTATGATTGTGAATAGATCCAGGGTACTTATCATAACAAGAAGGATGTATCAAACCCTGGAAAACCGAGGATGGTTTCAAAAAGGACACAAATACATTGGATTGATTTCTACAGGATAAGTGAGTGAGTAACTTTGATTTTACACCGCTTTAAGCATTTTTCAAGCAATGTAAGGCGGGGACAACCGGAAATGGTACATAATTATGGATTCAAACCCATGTAAACGCTTTTATTAACCACTAGGCCACACCACCAGCCCTAACGGGACTAATTGAAATATACAAACCACACGAAGCAGAGGGACATGGCCGTTATTCCAAACAACGTATACTGCAGGATCCGCCATGACTGCTGGCGTAGAAAGTATGCGATCGGTGCCAGGATCACCGTCGACATCATCCACACGGTGACGTATATGGATCCCGTTAGTCGGCGACTGTCCGTAGGATATAATTCCATAACCATAGTTGTTCTGATCATCAACACCGCCTTCAATATAGAACATTGCGGAGATTATACACTGGCAATAACAGACTTACAAGTATTCATCAGCGGCCGTTAAACAGCGTTGTTTTAAACAACAAATCGACTTAAACTAATTAACGTAGGTATGTGACTTGTCAGCGCTTTAAGCATTGCCTTTGAGTGGTGGAAGTCAGCGCTATATAAATACTCTTATTCTCATCATTCTTCTAAACTTAAAAAGAACAAAATGTTTCGAGTTACTATTCTAGGGCATGAGAGATTAAGTATAATAAATGAATGAATGAATGAATGAATGAATGAATGGAAGGTCGGACGGATGGACGGACGGACGAACGAACAAACGACTGATTGAATAAATAAATATATCCCTTATCAGGATCAGGATATACTAGCTATTCGTGGTGAGGTTCAAAATAAAAAAATAGCTTAGAATCCGCGGTGAGACATTTTATGAATATTAAACCATAACAATTTTGCGGCACCGTCACAATACCATCACATCCTTTCGGGTACCCATTCACTGCTGGGATGTGAACAGAACTGTTCGCCTAGTTTGTTACGTGCGTACAGCATCACATGTACCTAAATATTTACTCTACATATTTGAAGACACAAAATGAAAAATCAACTTACCATCTGTGCAAATCCAGTGAAAAGCCTCAGCACAATGAAGACATATATATCTGTGGATAATGCCAGGGCTAGGTTTACTACAGACAAGATGATGAGACTGACTATCAGTGGGATCCGCCTCCCAAACTGGTCAGCCAGCTTGGTAACGATAACCCCTCCGAAAATTTGACCCGCAATTAAAATAGATTGACTAAGGCGAGAGAACACTTCCTTGCCGCAGACTAGGTCCCACTGAAAAGTGAACAGAAAGACGGTATTTCATCCATCATTTATTCTAAACATTACTTTACCTTGAGAATACATTATCCTTACTTGATTATTTGTTTATTTGTCTTTTAGCGCCGCACTCACAAATATCCCGGGGCGACGGTGTGGCCTAGTGGTTAAAGCGTTCCAAGTCAAAACATTGATTACGCAAGAGTCTCGTTTCCTGCTGACTGGGTTCCATCCAATTGCGCAACTTAGTACAATAACCAGTCCAGAATTTTGAGACCATTTCATTCAACTGGATACATAAATATTAATTAGGATTATTTGATACATCTAACCACTTGTATATTGCAACACGACGCTCCTTCTAATCCTTGCAAACATGTCGTGCAGCGTGCTCTGTCGTACAGCGTGCTCTGACAAACGGAAATCTGGAAATCGTGGAAATCTCATAACGAGTCTCTGCAGTTAGAAAGGTTTGGCGGTCTGGTACGGACTTGATATTATATCCATCACACTGTGCATTACAAAACTACTCTGAATAAGCGCAAAGAACACATAACAGGTGTAACCAGTGAGCCAGATGAATTGTGAATCATTTTACGACCTCATCAAACAGGCAGTCTGTGACGTCTTAGTTAAGGTCATGCTGCCTACACCTCGCCATAAAGTATAGAAATACGATGTTGTTAAAGTTGCAAATACCATTTTCTAATGAAACAAGGAATTGGATTTCAGTGTAACCATAGTTGTTTGTGGTGTCTCCTTTTACTTTCACACGAGAAAATTCGGATCGGCTGAAAAGTAGGTCATTGTCTGGACAGGTTAATAAGACTCAAGTTTCGGTTTGACTCGTCACGCCGAAGACCGCGGTTCGATTCCCCACATGGGTACAATGTGTGAAGCCCATTTCTGGTTTACCCCGCAGTGATATTCCTAAAAGCTGCGTAAAACCAAACTCACTCACTCACAAATATTCTAGCTATATGATGGCGGTCTTTATAAAATGGACTTTATGCTGATGTCGCCATACGAGATACTACACAGTTATTATTTGAGGATACATCAACTCACCTCGGACACAATGGACGCGTCTTTATGCTCGCTGTAGACCCAGCCATTTGTACATGGGCTCATGGCGGAAGAGTTGCCAGGGGGAGATAATTCTACATTCTTCGTAGATGGTTGTATCATTGCTGACAGCGTTGATATATGCAGCGGTTACGTTGCTGTACCTTTCAGCACTGTATATAGCAGTGGACAGCGATGGTGGAGAACACTCATGGGGAACGTCTCTGGCTGCAAGATATCCGTGACTCAGATTGAGTTTGGACCACACAAACCATTGGTTGATATCATGAACAAAGCGGTGGACATCTTCTGGGGATGCCTACCCCATCACTGGACACAGCCACACACATAGCCACACAAACACACACACTAACACACACTCCCATACCCGCCGTTACAATAGCTACTCAAAACATCTGTATTAAATCATGGATTCGCCCCTGACAAAAAACCCATGTACCTCGGGGCGGTTGGGGTGGCCTTATGGTTAAATCGTCCGCTCATCATGCTGAAGATCCCGGTTCGATTCCACACACAAGTACAATGTGTAAGCCATTATGTCGTGATATTGCTGGAATATTCCTAAAAGCGGGGTAAAACCTTGTTCACTCACTCATCGCGAGTAAAATTGTATGACACAAGTAAGTACTTCATAAACTTGCATTAGATATTGAAGCTGGAACTGAGTGAGTGAGTGAGAACAGAACACCCAAACGCTCCTATTCAAGACTTCAGCAAATAGCTGAAGACAGTGTCCGGTAACACAAACCAAACTCACCGTCTATTCCTGGGAATGAACATTTGTTTCATTCGTTGGAAGGTGAGGGATGTGAATATTGGAGATGGAAGTTTGGGATGAGTATTTTTAAAACATATATTTGCACTTAATACTGCTTAACAAGTCGGACGTCCTGTACAATATGTATTCGAATAAACATTAAATAGTCCCGTTAATCCTTTCCCAGAAATGGGGGCGGTGTGGTAGCCTTGTGGTTTAAGCGTTCGCTCGTCACGCCGAAGGCCCGGGTTCTATTCCCCAGATATTCCCCAGATGTCTCCCCGTCATGATATTGCTGGAATATTGCTAAAAGCGCCCTAAACCCCAACTCACTCACTCACTTTCCCAGAACTACATGTTTGTGTGAACTATTGACCTAACCCACTTCCCGTCTGTAATATAGCACATATACATTTTTCATGAAATGATGTTGATCATGAGTTGATCCCTAGATTGTCTGGCCCATATTGACCGCCACCATATAGCTGGGATATTGCTTATGCGGTGTAAAATAACAAACAACCATGACCTACCGACAAATATGAAGTTCATTATGCTGAAGTTGGAGCTAACGATGAGGGAGCAGAGAAGACAGAACTGTACTGTGTGGTAGCGTCCTTTACTCCCGAGGGTAATTAGGACCGTGTCCAGGCTGGGCTGACCACTGTCCATCGTGGTTCTGAACTTCAGACTTCAAGCTCCGCTAGATTATTGGGATTCTTTTCTCTAGACACAGCAGCGACTGAAACAGCACATGGCGATCGGATAGTGTAAAAGGGTCACAAACGGTGCCTCCTGAGGGGGTACGTAAGTCCCAAAACTTTCAAAGTCTATTTAAGTTTACCAGGTTTTTAATCGTAGAATATGTGTGCTTTTAATTTATGGCTAGATTTCTCTTCTGTCGCCAATGGCTGAAGGGATGGTGTAAATCCAACTAGGGTCCATGCAGGTAGCAAAAGTAATGTAAGTCCCCATGGTTCCTAGTATGGTGATGTACCTTCAGTTGTTGGCGATCTATAGCCCGTATTTATATTGTATTGTCATTTAAAACTACCATATTTTAGTTTACTTACTAGTTTTACACACATATCTGTGATATTCTAGTTGTTTTACTGTCCTTCGTTGGCAGGTTTTTATAACATACATGTATTTCATTTCAATATCGAATGTTCTCGTCACGATATGGCTGAAATATTGCCGATGTGACGTTAAATAATAACTCACTCACTCACAAACGGTAGGGGGAGTGACATATGTTATTTATAAAAGGCCTTTCCCAGCATATCTAAAGTTCTACATTTGACAGTGTAAATACAACACACTAGTGGTGTAACGATTCATCGATAGTATCGATATTTGCATCGTCAACTACGCGATACGAGTGCATCGATACAAAACACATTTAGGCAATATATCAGGATATTTATATCGCGAGGGTCCATGACACATCGATGTATCGCCACAAGAGACGATATATCCCGATACAACTCAAATACTACTTAAAGTTGTAGGGAGTATTGCATTAGGAATAGGAAGGGAGTCTCTTTGAAAGTCTCCTGAATTTTAAAAATAAATTAAACCTTGAAGGAATTTGTTTGTGTCTGCTATCTTTGTTACATGAACAAAGGAGTTGGCGTATAAGTGAAAGAGTGTGAACATTTTTCAAACACTGTGAACTGAAGAATACTTGTCTTCAAGTGTTTGAAATATGCTATAGTTGTTTGACAAATAGCACTATTAGCTACTATTTGAACGATGTCTTAGCTTTGTTAAGAAAGAGAACAAAGAGAACATAAAATTTAGAAAGCACACTTAAGAGTTTTTTCAGTGATTCTGAATTCTGATATAATACCTTGAATTGTTTGTGAAAGCATTGGTGCAGAAACACAACTTCCCAAGGGAAACTTCAGTTGCAAATATACTTATATTAGATCAAGGTATACTGAATATGTTTGACTGTACGTTATTAAGCATTAAATGCTGAAACTTTATTAGCTGAACAGCTTTTCAAGTGTGTGGGAATGTAACACAAGTTCTGCTGTATGTTAAAACGCGAGTGTTTGGGGAATTAGCTCGCTTGGCAAGAGGTCTGACTATACCAACCCACACACAACACAACACCTGAGTAAAATAAACAAGGAGTTTAATACACAGCAGTCACAGGATGGTTTTCATAATCAGTCAATAATAGAATGGTTTACAATTAATTATTAGAACATGTTCACAATGCAATCAGATATCAAAGTACATGTAGATTCGTTACACACGACACATACTACATTCATCACGAAACATATTCCAATGTACACAACAATAGTTCAATATTCTACACATCACCCCAGTGGGCGTTCATACAATCTACATTATGTGGCAGTCACAAGACAGCATAGTACTCACAACGTAATACAACAGTTAAAATATCCGACACACTCTATAAATTCTATAATAGTCACATAACAGTGTAGTGTCAAAGATCAGTATGAAATACACAATACAGAAGATATGATGTAATAAAGCATATCGCGTTCAACATCAACCTGAAAAATGTGCCAAGGGTAACAAGTAGTAAAGAGATATCCAGTAAGATTAAAGTTAACACACAATAGAAATGGTAAAGACTTCTCGAACTTGAAGAAAGTAAAGTTACACACCTGAGTGAATTTACTAGACAGCCACCCCCTGATTTGTAACTGTCATCCGTATTATATACCTATTCTAGCTATCGCAGATAATCGCGTTTACAGATAAAACTTACGATAACGTTGTTATTGTGAACGTGAGATTATGTCATTTAGTTGGACCGAAGCATCGATGGCCAGTCGCGAGTATGCCAGGAAGGTATATGTGGCACGCACGTGATTTGACCAACGTGGAATACAAACAGCCGTAAGGACAGATAAACGTACTGCACCTTGGTTCTGTTAGCTTTAGAGATACTGATCCCGGATTAAGTCCGATGCTCGTTATCAATGTGACCCTTGGCAGGTTTAAGATTGAGGAACGTAGTCGGTTAGTCTGTAATATTTCCAGTTTTCAATAACGCATATCGTTATAAAATATTGGTAAAACTTTGTCTAGTTTTTCCGTGTTAATAGTATCCCCCTGTTCTTTTAATACTTCGTCCCGAAATTTGTATAAACAAAATAACATCATTCATATCTACATTTCGAGTAATGGGTAAATTGTGGTACAGAAACAACTGGTGTCGCGTACCCATGGTGGCTGACGAGAACGTGTGTACATACTGACCTTAGTCCGTAAAGGGTGGATACAAGGGCAACAATAGGTGCAAGATGTAAATTAAGCAACTAAGTGCTAGTAAGGAGTCTTAAAGGCTAGTGATAAAGCAATATTGGAAAATGACGACTATCAGGATACAGAGGAGGTTAGAGATGTGCCTCTTTCCTAAAACAAAACACAAGACATTTTGAGTTACTTAATCACACCAAATAGAACAGCATATAGGGTTTGGGTGAAATTGCTGAGGACAATTTCTAGCACTTGAGAACTATGCATGATCTAGATGGTGTTGACATAATTGAATTTAGGTATGAAAGACACATCTTTAATCCCTGGTATTTACTTTATCTGGAGATATTTATAGGGGCGTTTCCGTCTCTTGTCTTTCATGGTGAAGCGTTCGTGAAAGATTCGCTTGGATTCTTCAGTAACATGTGCAGAGGGTTCCCAAGAGGGTTCAGAGTAACCAACCCACTTGACTAAATAGTAACGTTTACCCTGTTGCATGCGTTGACGCAATAGCTTTTCAACTGGGTAGTACTGGTCACTTACCTTGGGTGACTGTTGTTCACAAACCACGTCAGTGAGCTGAGAGAGTATACAATTGTTCGTTTGCATCTGAATGTAGCATTCTCACGACAACAGCAAGATCCTTGAAGTTGGGAGTCTTATATTGTGAGCCAAGACTCGGCAAGGCTAGCAGAGGTTGTGATCTGCTCTAAACGAAGTAAGGGCATGAAGAAAATGAACCTAACCAACTTCAAAAGTCTATACTGACATATAATGAAAAATTCATTCAAGTGAATTTGGCTCGACGATATTTTTGCGAATCGTATATTGTGAGCCAGGGACTCCGAAGATACCTATTTCCGCCGGTATCGTGGTTTAGAGTAAACTCAAGGTGGCGAAACGAAGTAGTATACGATACATACTGGACATACAGTTTCCACTAAATAGCGCAGTGAATATGACAAGCAATGGGTCTCCATAACATAGGTATACTCTTACAATAGCTGTTTCGACAGGGAACGACTATATCATATCTTTCACAATGAATACTTGTATATTTGATGCTCACATGTTCGAAAAGGATGACATGAAAATGTAAGCAGGAAATCATATTGTATTGAATAGCTTATGGAAAGCTATTATCTATAGTGACGGTTCTAGACCTACAAAGTATGAGAAAAATCCTTGAAACCGGGAGTCTGGTTTGTATGGGAAGACTCGGATCCCGCAGATAACGTTGGTCTGCACTAAATGCGTACATGTGTACGGCGTAGGATGTGACCAGATCGTACCGTAGAGTAAGAACCTAGCCGATTTCAACAACTTAATCAGATAAAGATGTATGTCTGATAACATCACATAGATTACAATACATACTCTATATATGAAAACATGACAAATATGAACACAAGGAAACAATGACCGGAGAACATACAACATACCTCACATAAACAAGAACGTCCTTGAGAAGTTTACGTACACAGTTTACGGTGAGAGTCAGCACAAAAGTTCACAGATATTGTCACACACATCGGAAGAAACTTGCAGATGATTCGTGATGTATGCCTAGGTTGACTTGATCTTGAAAGTTGGTTCACTCACATGAATGTTGGGTTACCGATGATGTCCTGATTGTTGATTATCGGCTTACATCTTGATGATGACCGGGTTGTCTGGCCTTCTGCCTCTGGTCATCTTCTTCTGTGATCCATGATGACGACCGCCATGACGCTGCCTTTGTCGTCCATCATGTCAACTACCGGTGCTTTACTGCGACATGGACCGTGTAGGAAGTGGGACCCCATATATAGTGACTGGAGGAGTACCTGTAGTGTTGGTACCTGGGGCATTGGTTTGTGGGATCCTGTTCCGCCCGGTTCTGTGGTGGAGTCTTGTCTTGTCTGTGGATGGGTCGTCTCGGTCCTGCGCGTCAGGTGTTGCCATGTTTGTGGGTTGGTATGTCGCCATTGCCACTTTCGGTCCCCCGCCACTTATTAAGAGCGAGCTGAAGTTTCAAGTTGCTCAGCAGAGGTACCAGTGGCACAACCAACCCACACAACCCGATACCCGAGTGAATTTACTAGACAGCCACCCCCTGATTTGTAACTGTCATCCGTATTATATACCTATTCTAGCTATCGCAGATAATCGCGTTTACAGATAAAACTTACGATAACGTTGTTATTGTGAACGTGAGATTATGTCATTTAGTTGGACCGAAGCATCGATGGCCAGTCGCGAGTATGCCAGGAAGGTATATGTGGCACGCACGTGATTTGACCAACGTGGAATACAAACAGCCGTAAGGACAGATAAACGTACTGCACCTTGGTTCTGTTAGCTTTAGAGATAGTGGTCCTGGATTAAGTCCGATGCTCGTTATCAATGTGACCCTTGGCAGGTTTAAGATTGAGGAAAGTAGTCGGTTAGTCTGTAATATTTCCAGTTTTCAATAACGCATATCGTTATAAAATATTGGTAAAACTTTGTCTA